TAAGGGTCTGTGGAATGGTTGGTATGCTCTCCAAGTTATCCCGGGAAATTTTTTACACTTCTCTGCAAACAGTGTGACCAGATGTAATCACAGAGACTGTTTAACTTTATGACATCACAGATTTGCACATTGAAGTGTTGAAAATATTAAGAGACTGGCAAATCAAGACCCTGGTGGCACAGTGGTTAAATGCGTGTACTGCCGCCACTCACTCATAAACTAAAAGGTTGCAAGTTCAATACTAGCCAGGGGTCAGGTTTGACTCAGGCCTGCTTCCTTCCGAGGTTGCTAAAATGAGTATCCAGCTTGTTGGGGGCTAATTAGCTTACCGTTGTAAACTGCGTAGACACTGCATAGCATGATATAAAGCGGTATATAAATGAAGCTGCTTTGCTTTGCTTTGCTTTGCTTTGCTTTGCTTTGCTTTGCTTGGAAGAGACTTTAAATTCAAAGCATGCTCTAATAATGAAAAATGTGTAGAATGCTTGAAAGGAAAAGCCGCAAGAGCTTCACATCCTCCAGTTACTGTGAGACAATCTAACAAAGCATTGGATCTTTTACATGCTGATCTTTCTGGACCAATGAATCAAAAGTCAGCAGGAGGTAACTTATTTTATGACTATTATTGATTATTTCAGCAGATACACATACACCAATCTTCTCACAGAGAAGAGTCAAGCTTTTCAGTAATTCAAACTGTACTTTAATCAAGTCTCTAACAAATCTGGCTACCAAAGAATTTGCACACAGAGAATGGCTCTGAATTTGTCAATGCTGAATTTGATGAATTTTTAAAGGAACATGGCATTGAGCATCAGACTACACAGGCTTATTCGCCAGAACAAAATGGTGTAGCAGAGAGAACAAACAGAACTCTCAAGAAGATGTTGTATACAGATGTTGCATACTGTATACATTTTGTAAACAGAAATGTAACACTTTTATAGCAATTCTGAGAGATAATCAAATAAGTTAATAATAATAATAATAATAATAATAATAATAATAAAATTTATTTGTATACCACCCAATGGTTTCCCAATCCGGGCGGTTAACAGCATAAAACAGCATAAAACAGTTTAATTATATAACCAAGCTGACACAGCTGGTCTCAGAGTTGTTGGAGTTGCCCAGACTCTTAGTTTTGGGTGACTTCAACATTCCACTCAAGACCAGTTTATCAAGTTTAAAAGGTGTGGCTCAGGAGTTCATGGAATCTATGACAAACATGGGCCTATCCCAATTGGTTGTCAGGCCTACTCATTGTGCGGGTCATACCCTTGATGCAGTCTTTAGTACAGAACAGGAATATCCATGAACAGAGATAACAAATATCTCCCCATGGTCATAGACGGATCATTTCCTGATTAAGGCAGAACTAAGAACCACTGTCTGCTCCACCAGGGGTGGTGGACCTATTAGAATGGTCCGCCTTCGAAGGCTAATGGAGCCAGTTGGATTCCAGAAAGCCTTAGAGGGTTTAATGATTGGTAACACCAAAAATTCTGTTGAAGCTTTGGTCAATACCTGGAACACCAATCTCACCAAGGCTATTGACACAATCGCTCCCAAGTGACCTTTCCAACCCACTTCAAACTGAAAGCCATGGTATACAGAAAAGCTTAGGAAGATGAAGTGGGTTGGACAATGACTGGAGTGCATCTGGCAGAAAACTTGACTCTTATCTGACAAGATTCATCATAGGAACTTTCTTCGTTCCTATCAAGAGGCAATACATGCAGTGCAGAGATCCTTCTGCTCTGCATGTATTGCATCTGCAGAGTCCCGTCCAGCAGAGCTGTTTAGGGTGGTGAGGGAGCTGACATGGGTTCCACCTGCATAGAACCCTCTACTTAACCCAACGCTGGCCTGTTGTGACGTGTTTAACAACTTCTTTGCAGATAAAATCTCTCATATAAGAACCAACTTAGATGCCAGTGTTGTATCAGAATCAACTGAATAGGTCACCAGCAACTCCATTAGTGAAATTATACTGGATCAATTTCAATCTGTAAGTATCATTGATGTGGACAACCTCCTTGGAAGTGTGAGGAAGACAACTTGCCCTCTCATTCCTTGTCCATCATGGCTGGCTGTCCAGGAAGGGTGTGTGTGTTGAGGCTGTTCCTTAGGGACATCATCAATGCATCCCTCAGGGAAGGCCATATTCCATCTTGCTTGAAGGAAGGGGCAGTTAGGGTGCTTCTGAAAAAGCCTTCCCTAGACCACCTGGACATGAACAACTATAGGCCAGTTAAATGCCTGTACTGCAGTCACTCACTCATAGACCACAAGGTTGCGAGTTCAATACTAGCTAGGGCTCAGGCTAGACTCAGGCCTGCATCCTTCTGAGATCGCTAAAATGAGTACCCAACTGTTGGGGGGCAATGAGCTTACAGTTGTAAACTGCTTAGACATCCCATAGCATGATATGAAGTGGTATATAAATGAAGCTGCTTTGCTTTGCTTTTATTGCCATTCTTAGGCAAAGTGATCGAGAGATCAGTTGCTCTTCAGCTCCAAGCTGTCTTGGAGGAAATCGATTACCTAGACCCATTTCAAACTGGCTTTAGGACAGGATTTGGAGTTGAGACCTCCATGGTTGCCTTGGCTGATGACCTTTGTCTGAGCATCGACAGGGGTA